CACTCAGCACACTAAACATTTTTCCCTTATTACTTATGCTGATTAAGCAGTGATGAAGGAAAAAAAAACAGAGCAACTGAAGAAGAAGAAGAAAACTCAAAAAGAACTGAAGAAGAAGAAGAACAGAAAAGATTGCACGAGGAAGAGGAGTCGAGGAGCAGCAAAAGAGAGGTATACCTCAGGTCCTCAGTGCAGCAGCAACTCGAAATCTCGAAGAGACGCGACCGGCAAGGGGAAGAGGAGTCGGGGAGAAGAGATCGTGAGGGGAAGAGGAGTCGCGCAGTAGCAAATTTTGAAATAGAAAAAAAAACTAATTCACTAATATTCTTAAGTCAAATCTTTTTTAAAAAAATTAAATAAAAAAGGCGCCGCCATTATTGTCGCCATTAGCTGGCCATGCGTCGCCTTTTGTATGTCGCTTCGCCTCAATGTGGAATGGCGAGAAGGGCTCGCCTCGACTCTCGCCTTTGGCGATGAGGCGCTCGCCAGTCACAACACTGATTTGACTCAACATGGAGTTTACCTGTTTGAAAAAAGAAAGAAAACTCTTTTGGTACATGTCGTTCTAAACATGTCATACCATTTGCTCGACTACAGAAACTTCTTGTTTTAGGATAAATTGAGAAGTTTAAAGTTATATATATGGGGAAATAATGTACATTGATTTGTTAGATCTTATTAGAGCAAGTCGATTTACCTAAATACTTTTTAGTTTTATGACCAGCTTTCGCGCCACCTCCCACCTGCTACAGCTACCAAGGCCAGGACAGATAGAAAAAAACTATGCCCAACCCAATTACCCTAAATACTAACGAGAACTCAAACTGTAAAGTAACAATTTTCAGTAAGTTGTTCAAAATATGTCTGTAAGTAAACACAGAAAATGAAATTGGACAACAATTACATATAATTGGTGATATTTGCATTCATTCACCCATCCATCAACACAAACATGAAGTATTTAGTACTCAAAATGGAAATCAAATTACCTGTTGCGATTCGGAAGTTGGTGTTCCATAATATATTGATTTGAGCTTTATCAACAACTAATTTCAGATCTGGCTACTGCAATTTCAACTTTAGGGTTCGATTTCCACCTTGTAGTACTCTTATCCAATTCCCCGGAGATCAAATATGTGAACGCCGGCAGAACTGTAACTCGGCATTTTTGCCACCCCTCTTGTCAATCTTGTGGGATAGGTTAACTAAGGCTTAATATATTAAGGGGTTAAAACAAATTTATACAACTTTATTAATAATCATAGTTATACTAGTTTCACATATAGTCACTTGAAATTAATTAATTTATAGTTTGATAATTACGATATGTAAGCTACATGTTATGTAAAGGAAAGAAAGGAGCGAATTTGAGAAAAAAAATGGTGAAAAGACGGGGAGAAAAGTGAATTATATATGTATATTTGTTAGATAATTATATTATATTATATATATATATATAGCAAAAGAGATTGGGAGGAGATAGACAATGAGACTGAGAGGGAGGATAGAGGATAGCGAGAGAGGGCAGAGAGTGGGAGAGAGGTGAACTGTCTTTGTATATAGGTTAAATAATTGTACATTATATATATGTTTTTGTATATCCTGACGAATTATATATATACAAACATAACTAATTATATAAACTCGAAGTCAGCCCACGTAATTAATGTATAATGTTAGTCATGATGGTAATTATAGCAAATTATAGTTATGATGAGTAATTAAATAATATAAGTTTATTTATCACGTAATTTTTTCAAATTTATAAATATCACTCATCAGTCACTACTAATATTAACCATTAATATGTATAAATTTTGAATTTGTATAATTAGTCATGTTTATATAATTTAGCACATTTATATATTTCGCAACTAATAGTTCTTCCTTTAATTTGTATTTGGTTGTATTTGTTTATGACGATGATTTCTTTTGATTTTTCAGTTTTATTAATCATATACGTTCAATCTTTTTGTGTAAACTTTTTTATGTTTTTGAATAAACGTGTAGTTTCGAATTTTGTATGGTAAAATTTATATGGTATAATTTGTTTAATTGTTTAAAATTAGTATGTAATTCCAGAGTTTATATTATTCAATTATACAAAAACACACGAACTATACAAAAAAATGTACCCGCAAATTATACGAATTATTATCCTCTCTCGCTCATCTCTCTCTTTCCTTTTCCAATCTCGATTGTCTCTCTCCTCCCTCTTTCCTAATCTCGCTTGCCTCTCTCAACCCTTTCCCAATCTCGTTCGTCGAGTATACAAATACACATACATATCAGTTACATATATACAATTATCTAATTGATATATATATATACAATTCATTTTTGCCCTCTCTCACTCGCCTCTCTCTTCCCTCTCCCTATTTCGCTCGTCACTCTTTTTCCTATAACATTTAGCTACGAATTGTAATTAGCAAACTATAGTTATGAAGAGTAATTAAACTATTTTTGAGTGATTATATGTGAAAGTTCTCCTATCTTTCAAACAAGATATACACGTGCAACGAAATTAGTTTATAGATAAATATAAGATCGTATATTATCTATAGAGCCCTATTATTATACAAACAACATAACGCAACAGTCTTTTCGCAACTCAATAGTCGATGCACTTTTTCGGTCAAATGAGTTAATTAGGGCTTTCTATTTGCTTGGAATACTAATTATTCGCCTTTACAATACATACATGAAGACTCAAACAAAAAAATATAATGAAATGTGAATTAAGGCTTTCAAAAATATTGTTTGATCGTCAAAGAAGTCAGAATATGATAAATAATATTTGTTATAATATTATATGATACATTCGTTATATTGTTTGTCGCAATACATTTATAATCATATATGTAGCAAATATAAAATTCATATTTGTATGGTAGGGTAAAAAATACTCTTAAACTATCTGAAATATCTCATATTTACCCTTAAACTATATTTTGACTCAAAAGTACCCTTTTTGTCAAACTATTGTGTCAAAAGAGCCCTTCTTAGTTGTTAAAAACTATGTAGATATCACATTGCACGCCAATAGTATTCCACTGCCACATAGACTAAATCATTAAATCTTAATTACTCTTTTTTTTCCTCATTTCATTATTTTTCAAAAACGATTGAACCCCTTCTCCCTCATTTCGCGGCTAGGGTTTCACAGTTTTCTTAGTCGATGGTTTTCAAAGTGAATATTCGTGGTTGTAGGTTAGTAAATCTTTTTTCCTATTTTATTATGCTTACAACCACGAATATCCACTTTGAAATCTAGCCCGAAGAAAGTTGTGAAACCCTAGCCACGAAATGAGGGGAAAGTTGTGAAATTCTAACTATCATGTTTTGTAATCGTAAACATGATAATATAAGAAAAAAGATTTATGACCTATAACCATGAATATCCACTTTGAAACCCAGCCACGAAGAAAACTGTGGAACCCTAGCAGCGAAATGAGGGAGAAGGGGTGAAATCGTTTCTGGAAATTAATGAAATGATTGAGGGGGGGGGGGGGATTAATTAGGATTTAGGGATTTAGTTTATGTGACAGTGGAACCCTATTGACATGTAATGTGGCATCCACATGGCATTTAACAATTTCTGTTAATAAGAAGGGTACTTTTAACCCAATAGTTTGACGGAAAAGATAGTTTTGAGCCGAAATATAGTTTAAGAATAAATATGAGATATTTCGGATAGTTTAAAGGTATTTTTCACCATTTTCTGTTTAGTCTACGTGGCAACAGTGGAACTCTATTGGCGTGCAATGTCGCATCCACATGACATTTAACAACTTCTGTCAATAAAAAGGACACTTTTGATCTAATAATTTGACGAAAAATGTAATTTTGAGCCAAAATATAATATAAGGATAAATATGACCTATTTATGATAGTTTAATGATATTCTTAAATTTAGATGATTCCAATTTTATACGCCACACCCAAAGCATCATAGTTGGGCATCAACCTCACGTAGAAATTCTTTGTTCCATTAAGCCTAAATGAAGATAACAAACATATTAGTTTAGTCATGGTGAAAATTAAACCATACAATTCAAGAACTTCAAATAACTACTCATCCAAGAGCATATGCATATTTTATACAGATTTTTTTTAAAAAAAATTCGCAAGTGACCTTATCTCGGAGGGAATAAGGAGAAATAATAAAATCATTTTAATTGATATAACAATATATTTCTTATCTAAATCGTGATTAGAAATATATTTAAGTTAATTAAATCTTTTTCATTAAATCTAATCTATGCTACATGTCATTAATCAAAACTAGAAATTGAAAAAAATAGAGATAAGAAAAATGAAAATAAGCCGGATCCGTATATTTTAACTCTTTCTTTGTTTCTATTTAAATTTATTTTCCAGTTTGAAGAATTTGCCTGTCCAATAAGGTTGTTTCATTGAAACTTCAATATCAACTTTGCTTTTTCTTTTTTTTCCTCATCCCAAAGACTGATTTTATTAAAAACAAAAAGATGAAAATAAAAAAGCAAATGTTCACATTGGAACATCTTTTGAAAAGTTGAACTGCCAGTAATTTCCAGCTAATTAATTTTCAGCAACTCCATTAAGTTCTAGGATTTAATTGGTTAAGACAAGAATAAGCGCATCTAACTACTTAAATTAAAATCACTAAACTATTTTGGCTCAAAAAATATCTTTTTCGTCTTACTATTGAATGAAATGTGATATCGAATGTGTATATTATACCTAAAGTGAATCGGAGGAGACATGTAACAACTTTGGTCGTCCAAAACTGATATTCATGTTCTAGGGTCCGTGAAGAGCAAGTTAACAGTCATAAAACAACGTAAAATGATCGAATAAACAATTGTGAGGCTTGATGCTCCGGCTCATAAGAGTGAATTTCAATTACTATTTTAGAGTATCGAACCTCAATGACAATGATCACACCTACGGCTAGAAAGAAAGAGAATACTTTGCGACAAATTTGATTCAAACAACACCAAAAAAAAAGTTGAGTATTCACAGCTTAAGTTTTCTTTCAATTGCTATAAAAAAAAACAATGGTCTTTCTATTACTTATAATTACTGCTACAAATTCAACAAAATGACACTAAAAATGTATTGAATTTCATATCAAAGCCTTCTCTATTTACATATTCCCAACAAAATGGCATCTTTTCTCTATGCCATATAGGCCGCTCTCTTAGCCATCAATCTTCTACTTCTAGTCGACTGCTCTAGAACCGAACTTTCTCTTTTTTTAGTGCTCCCTTCCCACTCAACAGGTAATAATTTAAAGAACGACATTATTGTCTTCTTCTTCTAGTCGACTGCTCTACCAATCACACATTGCCTTACACTTGGCATCGGGGGTTATCGTCTTCTGCTTCTAGTCGACTGCTCTATAAAAATAATAATTGAAAATTGGCGTTTTCCGACTAAGTAATTACCATCTTGTTACTCCATTACGTTCTTCAGGTACCCAATTTCTTCTGCTTCTTCTCAAATACCTACTGAATATTGAAGTGCTTGAAGATACACTTCGACTCCTGAATACAGCAGATCCAGAACCAGAACCGGATGATTCTGAACTACTGGAATGTATGGATAGAGATCGATGTTGAGAAGATGGTGTTAATCGCCGGAAAAATGATGTGAAGTTGTTGAAAATTCGGCTTATTCCGTTGCCATTTCGACCTGTGTTGCTTCTTCTTGATCTCCAAGCTATTCTTCTAGGTACCCCATTGTTAAATCCACCGTCCATTTCTGTATACACTACTGGAAGCTCTCTCTCAGCTCCTCTTCTTCCACCGGAAAATCTTCCTACGGCGAACCCACCTCCCGGAAGTCTCCATATTGTCAATCCCATTGCCTCGTCTTCGTTTCTGGGTCTAGAAATGTTGTCGGAGTTTGTAGTTTCAGTTGATTCCGTTGGTAATTCGTGTCGGCAAACGGGGCACGAATTTCGAAGAGATAGCCATGGGAGGATACAATCGGAATGGTAGATGTGTTTACAGGGCATTTCTCGAGCTTCAGATCCTAAATCGAAAGCTTCTTTACAAACAGCGCAATGGGTCTCGGAATTTACGTGATTTGAAGCTATTTGAATAATCGGCATCGACTCAATCGCTGATTTCGACGCCGGTGGATTTTCCGGGCGACCAAAACCGTTCACCTCGATCTGTGCTAACTGATCAAGTAACCGATCAAACCCAGATCCCATCAAAAACTCCGACATCGTCGGCGGCAACGGCCTGAGACCTGAACCTTCACCATCATCATAATAAAGCTCATAACTCCGCTCCTCTGCAGCTGCAGCAGCTTCATCCTCCCCAGGTGCTTCAGATGGACTACGAAGAACAATAACCGGATTAAACGGAGATCTATCACCCCGATTACGCCTGCTCCGTCGAGAACCCATGTTCACACTCCGATCTGACTCTGGCCGTTCGTTCCACATGGGAAACCTCCGGCGAGATTCCGGCGACCCAATATTTCCCTCAGCAACTTCTATAAATCCACTATCACAGTGAGGACAAACAACATCGTTTCCAACTGAAATTCTAACAAACCTTGTACACCGATAACACCAGTACGAAGACATCTGCAGTCGCCGGAGATCAGTCAAAACTCAACCCAATAAACCCGGTTAGATCCAATAACTCAAAACCCCCAAATTATGCTCCGATTTGGCTCGCCGGAGAATATAAAAAAGGTTTCCTAAGAGAAAAAAAGAAAAAGCACAGAGAGAAGAAAATGGGGGTAGCGTTGAAGAACGTGAAAGGTAAAGAAGAAAGGAGAAAAAAGAGAGTTTATAAACACGAAGACGCGTGGGAGCCTGTTAGTAAAGCGGTAAATACTATTTCATCGTTAATTAATTATTTTATATTTAAATTTTAAATTTAAATAAAACAATTATTCAACCTATAAAATAGCATAATTACTTTAATTTGGTCATGGTCGAATGATATATAAATATGGGAAAAGAAAAAATCGTTTTTCAATTATTACTTGCTGAGATAAAGCGTAAACGAGTGAGAGAGCTAAGAAAAGATGAAAATCTGTCATTGGAGCCGTCGATAGTAGAAGACTTGGCTTGAGAGGAGCCAACATACATTACATTTATACATATGTATATACAATAGATATCACACCCTCTTCAATTAAATTATGTGATTACATTCTTCTAATTTTTGAATCTCCTATTAAGAATTTTATATCCATCACAATATGTAGATCATTATTTTGTTGTTATAGATGAATTTTGTGTATGAAGTCATGTTTTATATAGGTCATATAATCTTGAAAAACTATTTTATTTTTAAATATGAATTTAGAATTTTTTATTAATAAGATAAATATCAAACTTCGAATAAATTCAAATAAAAAATTAAAAATCGTTGATTGTATTTTTGGTGTTAGTGTGTGGTCCACGCGTTGAATGAAGCGCGGTTTATTTAACGGAAGTAGTAGCGTATAATTAATAGAGGCGGAGTTTTGTTTATATGGCAACTGGCAAAAGAGGGAGAAACGGCAATATGTTTAACGGCGTTAGTTGACTGGTCACCTTTTTTGGGGTCATTACTTTTTGTATTATTTTCTTCGAAACACACCTAAATTTGTTTTGCAAATATGACCCCCCAACAAGAAAATTCTATGTAAGAATTTTATTTTTCACCTTTTTGAAAAAAAAATGGCAAAATAATAAATTAGGTATATTATTAATAAAAGCATAATTTTCTCATTATTTTTATATAATATGGTCGATTCTAAAATTTATTGATTTGATTTATTCAACCTTCAATCATGCTTGTTAATTAAAATGATTTTTAAATTTTGTTTTCAGATGAAAAATATTATCAGTCAAATCATATTCTAATTTGATGAATGAATTGACTTATATTAATGAATGTTTTGAATTTTTTTAAAATTCCTATTAAAAATGACTATTTTTCTTCATTTAACTAGTTTTTCAAACAGATTTCTAGTTTAATATATAAAGTATCAAAATCAAATAGGAAACACAAAAAAAATTGAACAAGCGTAGAGGGATAGAAATATCTTTTAGTTCATGAACATGAATGCAGACAATACAACGAATCTCTAAATAAATATGTTTAGATACGACGATGAAATAATCAATGAAATTTTAAACTTTGTATAAAATTTAAATAATTCTTTCTTTTTTTAAAAAATTATTTTTTTTACATATAAATTATATCCAAAATCTAATTTGACATAAACATATGTGATATATTAGTAGTAATAGTTTAAATCGTGGTTAATTTGATAAACTTGTTCAATTTATTTATTTATTTTAAGAAGAAGAAGAAAAGATGAGGGGCAATAAATGTAGAGGAGGAGGAAATGAGGGAGTTATTATGCAAATAAATAAAAACGTTTGAGAAGAACGTTGACCTGACTGAAAATCCATTGAATTCCGACCGCCGAATTTGAAATACTTTTTATTTTATATTTCATAATATAGTCGGCAAGTTTTTTGTAAAAAATTGTCAAAATAGATTTGTATTTTAATTTATACATATATATATATATATATATATAATATTTACTCGTTTGGTTAAAAATTTTCGTTAAAAATTTTATTTGCTTAGAATAAAAGTTATGTGAAATTTTGTTTTTATCTTTATAAGATATACGTATGTCATTTATATTTGAGCTTGATAATTTTGGATTTATATATAGAGATCGAATTCTATAAAAGATTCTTTTATATTTAGGATTCACATTTGAGACTTTTGATTAAGTGAGAATAAGCTCATCAATCATATTGATGATGATTATAATACTTTAATGCAATGCGCATGGTGAAATCATAAATTTTATCAAAGGTGTCCAATGATGATACTATACGACTGTCAAAATAAAATAAAATAAAATATTGTGTTATTTGGTGTTCAAATCCAGAATTCCTTCATACAAAACGATACTTATTACCACTGTGTCAAAAACATACTCCCTCTATTTCAAAAAGAATGTCACTATTTGTTAAAAAAAGAATGATTCATTTCCTTTTTTTGACAACATTTTAACTTTAACTTTTCACGTGGCACATTTAAGATCACAAGATTAAAGGGCATTTTGATACATTTGACATAACTTTAATTTAGGACCACAAGATTAAAAAATCTTATTTCTTTTCTTAAATTCTGTTCCCACTCAAATTAGATCATCCTTTTTTAAACGGAGAAAGTAATTTTTATCAATATAGAGTTTGACATATATATACAACGTAATTTTTTTATTAAAGACATTGTGATTGAACACCCTGAAATGACTATAGCTACACCCCAACTTTAATGCTACTCCCTCCGTCCCATTTTATGCAGCAATATTTGACTCGATACGAAATTTAAGATATAACAAAAATTTGAAATGATTACTAAATTGTCCTTCAAAAAAGCAATTCATTTTTCTCTTTCCTCGTAAATGTATTAGAAAATTAAGTGGAACTAATAAGGATAAAATAAAAATTATATCTTTAAATACTTACCATATAAAAAAATATAATATTCTATTTAAGTCTGATAAAAAGAAATGATATCACGTGAAATGAAATGAAGAAAATATTATTTATATAAAAGAATATTTTCATCCGTACCAAAGCACTATATTCCTTGTACTGAACGCGTTGTGTAATTTTGGTGAATATTTTCCAGGAAAGTATTTGACAATTTAACAAGAAGTCCCAATCTCTTTGGCATTTAAAATATGTTTACAACTAACCCAACATATTTATTACTCTACTGCTCTAAATAACTTCACTATAATTTAAATTGAATCTATGAATTTTTATTTTATTTTTTTGTGTTTGAGCTTGTATTCTTCATTTATTTTTATTAAGTATTAATTTAATAAATTTAAATAAAAAGATAATTTTGTTAATTTTTTAATTTAAGAAATTTAATATAGTAGAAAATGACATATCTTATTTTAAATTCCATAAATAATTGGCAAAATATATATTTTATTTATAAAGTTTAATTTTGAGAATTACTTATGGAGTTTAAAATTCTAATAGTTTAATCATATCTTATTAATTATTAACTAGGTTGAAACTTGTAAAAAAAAATTGAATCCTATAAATTGCTTATGAGGTTTAAAGTTACAATAAACTATGACTCTTATAATTCTTTTTTAATTATTTTTTATTCGATATTTGATATCTATATTGATGTTTGATTAAATTTAAATTTATATTAAAAAATTTCACATTAAAAAGTAACATGAATTCTAATAAAAAATAACTCAATATACATAAAAATTCAAATCTAAAACTTTAGTGAAAAATAAATTTATCACCTAACGACAACCTTAAAAGGTAGTCTCATAAGTGTAAACGCAAATAAAAGTGACTAATTACCATTTTTTTTCCCCCTCATATAACATCTAAATTTTGTCTAAATTGGTTACTTTTATTTTTGAAAATAAATGCAAACAAATAGTACTACTTTGCTACCAAACATTAGGTGTTTTGACAATTAAATTTATTTTGAATTTATTTGTCGTAAAAACAAAAAGTCATATATAATTAGACCTTCCTTCAATAATTATCTTATATTAATATTTTATAATAACAATTATATTTTTTATTTGGTCTTTCACAAGACATGTTATGTTATACTTTCTCTATCCTTATTTAGTTGTTCATTTTAAAAAAGATATACATATTAAGATAACAATAATTAACACAATGAAGTTACAGTTTTATCCTTATTAAATATGGTTTTAAAAAGGATGAATTAAATATTAGAAATTTTCAAGAAATTTAAATGAGGGTATAATAGGAAAAAAATTATCCTTTCTTGATTTGTCAAAATGGACAAGTAAATAGAGACATCTAAAAGAGGAAATATGAACGAGTAAATAGGTACATAGGGAGTATTTTATACTCTTTCTCCCTTAAATTTTTTTTTTTTTTGAAAACATGCTCACTACAATAGCTCTCGCAAACTATGCTGAAGACATAAATCACATTAGGCAAGTTTTATACGGCGAATTCATGGTTGAATAGCAAATGGAGGTTGGATTCGATTTACGTGACATATTTTAAATTTTGAGAGTCAAACAAATTTTTTTGTTACAATAATTTTTTCATATATTATTTAAATATCATGCATAATCAATAATTGTGACTTATAATATTTTTATGTAATTTTTAATTTATTTGGAAAAAAACTAAAAAGATTTTAGGACTCAATGCACCATCAATATGAAATTATTTAACTCTCAAAATTTAAATTATGTTATATAATTTGAGATAAAAAATAAAATTATTTTATTATAGCAATCTAAAACTATCAAAACAAATAATACGGTTATACAAAGTTTTTGCCTTATATATTCATCTTTTTTCACCAAATAAGAAATGTCGATTTATATATTCCTCAAAAGTCTTGCTTATATTGCTCAAAAGTCTTTGCCAATTTCATCATCAATCCCAATCTTTGTTACTTTACGTATAGAAAAATCATAAAATTTTAAAAAATATATCATAAAATTTTAAAAAATATTTATTTTCTAAAAATTATTACTTCAACATTGTTAAAAAGATAATGAAAATTAGTGTTTAAAAAACAGACACGAGGGGAGGGAAAATGTTTTACTTTGGTATATGGGATTGGAGTAAGTTCTATGAATCTTCAAATTTATAATTTATAATATAATAGAATAATATAATAATTAAAATTAATAATTTTAAAAAATTTAAAACTTGATTAAAGAGGTATACGTATAAATAATGCAGTGATGTAAAGATTATTATGAGATGCAAACCAACTTTAACATCTCAACTTTCAAACATTAAAAGAATCATAATTTCTTAAAATATATTACTTCCTTCGTTTAAAAAATGATAACCTAATTTGATTTAAAATGGAGTTTAAAAAAAGAAAGAAGATTTTTTAATTTTGTGATTTTAAATTAAAGTTATGTCAAATGTATCAAAATGTCCTTTAATCTTGTGATGTTAAACATGTCACATGGAAAGTTAAAGTCAAAGTATTGCAAGAAAAAAGAGATTATTCTTTTTAAAACAAACTAAAAAATAAAAATATTTTTTAAACGAAAAAAGTATTATACTATAAAATGTACCTCACTAAAAGAAAATAATCTATAAATTTTAATAGTATTATAATTAAAAAATCATTTCTTCATGAATAAAAATAAAAATTACTTTCTAACAAACAAATAACGAAATGAGTTAATTTGAGACATTAAACAAAAGCGTGACAAAATTAAAATGAGTTAATTTTGAGACATTAAACAAAAGCATGACAAAATTAAGTGACCACATAACCTTCTACTCTCCTTTATTTTATTAATAAAATATTAAAATAATAATAATATATTTCCGTAAATTGGAATTTTAGTCTCAAAATTGAATTCAATTATTTTATTCTCTCTGTTTCCTCTAGGTTAGATAAATAACCTTAAATTCAGGCTGCTAAATTTATTTATTTTTAGGACCATCCCTTTTCCTTGCAAAGTTGTTCGAAAAAAAAAAACACATCAGTGTGTTGTTTGAAATAAATATACACACTAACATGGGTTACAGACTTATGGTGCACTGGTAAGAGTACATTGCCTTTAATTAGAAATTTTGAGTTTGATGTTTTAATATGGATTTCAGACACTGGGTGAGAAATCAAAAGAAAGAGAGAAATAGACACCATCAAAGAATCTGGTACAATAAATAAATTAATTTTTTCTTAATTAGAAATTTCAAATTCAAATTTTCGACATATTAAAAAATTCTAAGCCAGAGCGCTTCTCATAAATAGGTGATACATAATACAAATATAAATTAATCGAGTTTTAATAAAAATAACGAATATCAAATAAAAATTATAAGTAAGATAAATTCAGTACATACAATATTCAACAAATATATTTCAAAATTTTCTAAATGACCTGTATCCACATGTCACAACATATAGTAGTAATATATCTATTTTTAGGTATGACATGATATTTATTTTCTCACCAATTTAATTGTGCAACTTGACCATGATAGCCAATCCTTACAATTTATAACAATAAGATTTTATTAAATAAATAATTGACTGGCTTTTTAACAAAGACGTCCTTCTAATTTCATTTTAATAATAAGAATTAATATTAATTATGTACTTTATTATATTTAAAGAAGGTTTAGTACTATTGAGCTGATAGATTAGATAAACTTTTGGTACCAAACAATTAGACTGGTTGTGGTTTTGAAGATTTATTTTTAATATATGATTTGTAACTTACACAACTATAGGCATCTATACCATAAGATATAGGAGATAACAAGTCCGGACTTATAAAGTTACATGTATGATTTTACAAAAGAACAATAGTTATGATTTATATGTATATATCGTAGATATCGAAATCTTCTTCAGCTATTTATTTTTACAGATTTTGAACCCCCTATTGAAAGTTCTGACTCCGCATCTGTTACTAATCATTTATTCATTTATGTTGTTTTTAAGTTATACTCTTTAAGCAATTTATTTCATAACAATTCTATTGCTTGGTTGTCTCAATCTATATGTTCTTGGGTAAACTTTGATTTCTTTGCGTTTTTAGGTAGAGAATGGAAGAGATCAAACACGGGAATAAGAAGCAAGCTCGCCTTTTCTTTTTAATCATTTTGATCGAGGGGGATGAAGAAAGATACTCCAACGTTTAATCTCTCGAGTATGTACTATTTATATTTTATCTTATTTTATATTTATAATAATTTGAAATAAACACTAAATACACACAATTATTATTACTATTCCATACAAACAAGTAGTGCCAAAAAAATATATTATTGAGGAATCTAGTGATGTCAATTATTCTATTTTATTTTATTTAAAATAATACACTTTAATATTAATACTGATTATAAATAACCAAAAATCAATCCGACAAGTTATTCTCTTTGATTCTATCTTTTCCAAACATGTAATGAAAAATATGCTTAAGCTATCTAAACAATGAGTAGTCTTGGGGGCCTCCATTGTTGGAAAATATACATGGAGACGGAATTAGAATTTTCGCTAAGAGATTTAAAATATAAAGAAGTAAGAAGTTCGATAATAATAATACTTTTCCGACGAAGGAAATTCAGATGAAACCACTTGATTCTACCTGACTTCACCGTTACCTTTGTAGATCTCAGCTTTCTAGACATAGATAAAAACTTTGATATCTTAAGAAATTTATTTGATATGTACAAATTATTAATTTAGAACTCATTAATTTAAAGGGACTCTTATTTTGAATCCATAGGGTTCAATTCTTGATTTTGTGTTAGACTTTTAAAAACATATATATAATGTCGGAATCTGAGTTAAAGTTACTAAATTCGACTGAATCGAGGTGTGCTAGTGTCTACATCAACCCCTACTTTTACCTTCATACCCTATAGAGAATAATACTCAAAGACCTATGCTGTTTTTTTGCCCCCTTGAAATGGATGACACAAAGGGGGAAAAAAAAGTCTAATTCATTTTATGCCCACTTTCAAAAGGACCATCACTTTTGATATAAAAAGCAACTTTTTTTACTTCCTGTTGAACTACATGCGTAAAAAGGGCAAATCCCATTTTTGTTTATACCAAATTCTAATTATTGATGTTGACAATCAATATGAAACTTTAAAGACTAAGGTAGAAAGAGTAAGATCCAAAAAAGAATAGCAACAATATCATTGATATCACTTGTAAAAGACTTTTACTATGCTATTTATAGTTATTAATATAATTCCGTTTTGAGTGGAACGCTATGTTATTGGTAAAATTGATGTCATATGACCAAAAGGTCAAGAATTCAAATTATGATTACAATCTTTTGTAGAAATGCAGGATAAAAATTGCATACAATAGACCCTTGTGATTCAGTCCTTTCTTTAACCCCACACATCGTGGGAGTTTAATGCACTAAACTCTCTTGATAGAGTTCTTGTTTAAATAACAGGCATGAAAGTACTCAACTATAGTAAGATCCTAGACTCACTCTGAGTCCTTCCGTGATGCCCCGACTCTCGGTCTCAATCAAGAAAGGAAAGAACCATTTTGTGTATAGAAATAATAAAACTCTACTATTACTTGAAAAAATAAACTACTTTTAACTATGATTTTGTAAAAATACTAAGTATGTGGCTTTTGTTATTTATGATAACAACAGAAATGAATGTCAATTGCCCCATTTGGTTGATCAATGGCCAACTCATGCTAGTGACAAAAGCAAAGTTGTCTACTTTCAAACATATTCAAAGAGTTTAAGGATTATGCATTAAAAACAAAATGATGTCAAACAATAACATAATTTGACAGACAACATAAGTATCTATCAATTGTTTGCATTTATGTTGTTCAGACTCTTCAAAAACGTCGTTGAATGCCTGTCAGATATTCTAAAAGTAGCGCATTTTTAGAGGTTCTGACATGGGGCTTGCAACATTTTTTTTCTCAACCAAGGGAGTTCTCATATGAGGAAAACTCTTTCTCTGTTTAAGCTGTGTTTCTGTTCCATCATTCAAATCAATGGCCTCCAAGTATCTACTCAAATCATTCACTTCATTTTCTTGATTTCTTGATTTTGCAATGCTTGTAATCCCCTTGTCCCGAGACGGGGTTAAATTGAGCGACATGGACAGTGAAGATTCATATAACCGACCCAGACTTGTTTGGGATTGAGGAGTAATTGTAATGTTGATCGCCTTGTCGTCTTTCGTAACCATCTTCACTCTTTTTTCCTTAGTCTTTACTATCCCATTTACTAGTCCAACTCTTTTTCTGTCATGTTCTCCAGCTCCAACTTTCCTCAACTTTGAGCAAACTTTTCTGTCAATCTCAATAGATTTATCAGTTCGATACTTAGACTGTACATCAAAGATATCTTTTCGCGCATTTGATGCTTTTTTTGTCTTAGGTATCGATGCAGCATATCGTGACTTGATTGGACTTAGAACTAGTGTTTTTATCATCGAATCTCGGTTTACACTGTAAATGGATAGCGGACTTCTAGCTCTTTTAACTTTGTTTGATGCTTCAGCACTATTCCCTTTATCTCTACTTCCTGACGTTCTCTGCTTCTGTGGTTGATTCGAGTTTCCATCGAAAGTTCTCTCCACTGACATATCCTGTTAACAAATATCGCGAGTCGTCTAGTTTATTTCAAATATACACATATATAAACTATGACACAAAAAAACACTAGCATGTACTTTAGATGTATATAACTAACACATATATGTACTTGTAGGATTTGTTTTTCTTAAAGCAATTGATGAAGTAAAGTTATATGCAAAACTAACCTCATCGAAGAAGCCAAATTTTGGCGATGGCATACAAAGACCGGATGGTTGGGGATTCTCCCTTGGCACTGAAGCAACAGGTCCTGTAAGCTGACTTCGAGGCAATAAGAGACGACTATTTGAATCACTGTGAGCTCGATTGGTGCTAGACGCTGACAATGATGACTCCAAGGACCGGACTTTTGTAGTACTGAGAGGTGATTTATGAGAGGAACTAAGATTTTCAAACTTTTTACTCTTTGTAGATGATCTTATCGGAGTCTTAGTGGTCGAGACAGAGGAAGAGAGTTTAGTCTTTCCGGTTTCTCTATGTTTACTAGCATAAGCAGATGTCACATACAAAGGACAAGAGGTGATTGAAGAGTGAGTATTGGAATTCGACACCATCAAATCTCGTCCTACAAATGTCACAAGTTATTAATTCTTATGATAAACGATCAAGAATGAGAAAACAACTTCATTTGTAAAGAGGAGTTTCTATAAGTGTGTCGCATACCAGGTCCAGTTCTCTTCTTGCCTCCTATGTCCACAGAATACATATCTCGTGATGATATTTTGCTTTGCCAAGTCGAAGCACTTGATCTCGGCCATGGTTTTGGAAGCTTAAGTGAATTACACTCTTTTCTTTTATAAGGTTGCTAGTTAACAACAACGAAACTAAGTTTAGAATCACTTTTACAATGTTGTCAATATATAAAAGTTAAAACTCTTATGTTATGTGTTTGGTAAATGTATATAGCAACACTAACCTGTGTTTTAATTCTCTCTGGTCTAGCATCATTGATGTTTTTCCTCTTGAAAACTAGACTACGATCAATCTGGCAATTAAAAATGAGACCGATAATCGATTAAATGAACAACATAATACTAGTAGAGAAAGGCAAATATCAATGTTTACATTGTCCCTTATGTAACTAACCATGTTTCTGGGGCCAGTTCTAATACTTGAAATAGACTGTTGGTCTGGCCTCCGAGCGCGTACATCTTCTAGGATGACAGGCAGAAGATGATTCTCTAATGTGTCGAACTCTTTGTTCATCGATGATAGTTCATGTGGTTCAAGAAGACCTGTCAATAGATATAATTACAATAACACCTCAAATACCAAATAAGTCAGGGTCAGCTATATGAATCTTCAGTGTCCATGTCGCTTCTACTAGCATGGATATGAGTAGGAGTTCTCTATACTTTCTTCTAGCATACAAATAACATTACACCTAAAGTAATAGTATATAGATCAACATATATCGATGATTGAAGTATATGAGATCTTAGAGTTAACGGCCAAAATCTTTCTTGAACTAATGCTTTTTTACGAGTTACACACTCCAACTATCAGTTGTTCCCTTTTCTTACTTGAACTATCACCATCCATGTATTAAAACACAAGTCAACTATCAATTGTTTCCTCTTCTTTCCTGAACGATGGTGATAGTTCAGACAGGAAAACGTAACTTCTGATAGTTCTATACATTCTATTGGCATACAAATCTCTAACAACATTAGACCCAAAGTAATTATATATAGATCAATACCTATCGACGGATGAAGTATATTATATGTTATACAAACATAAAGCAACTATAGTTAACTGCATTGACATTGTATATCTAACAATAACAGATGAAATACTACCTGCGCTAGTGAAGAAAGCGTTATCCCAAGCTGAACTTTTGCGCAAGTAACTAGGTCTTCCGGGCTGAATAGGTACAGAAAACGAATACTTTAGCCCCTTCTGCTTGTTCACTTGTGTTGATTTATCTATTTTCGCGGAAGTTCTTGATAAATTTGAACCCTCACCATCCTCATTTCTACTGTCCAATGTTACTGCACAAATGACATCAAGTGAAGTTGTTGCATACAATTGCTTCTATATATACACTCAAACAACAACAACTACGCCTCAGTCCCTAGCAAATCGATTGTTATACATACTGATGTGCATATAGGCAGTAAACTACGAAGAATCCCCGAGAGGAATAGCTCAAACATGACTGGTATGGCCAGTGATGATTCATAACAGACTCAAACATGATTGGTATCAAGGCGTAGTTGTATTTTTGTCGTTGTTTCTGTTCGAATTAACATATAAGTCAAATTAACTTCTTAAAGCTCCGTGTCCAATCAAATACCGTCAATAAAATTGCACCAACGGAGTAATAAAACATATTATAGATTCTCAACAGGAAGATATATGAATGAATAAACAACAAGAAGGACTCATAATAGGGGCGCGTATATGCATTAGGGTTCACCTGAATCCCCTTTCACCGAAAAATTACACTATATGCAGAAAGTCAAAATTAGTTTGATTTCCTTTGACTTTATTTGTTTAGATTTGATGTGAGAATCTTGACTCCGCTACTAACTAATAAGGTATATGGTAAAGAAAGTTACCGACCTGAAAGGCGTAGATCTTCAAGAGATTCAAACAAAGGTGAATCAATAAGAAAATCATCCTCTGATGAAATATCAATGAGCTTAAGCTTTTGATCTCCAATATCATAACATTCCATTTAGTCAAAAATGTAAAAAGATAGTATTTTGAATGTTTGATTGGTAGGGATAGAATGGCTAGAACCTTTAGTCAGAAGTCTCGAGTTGAGCTTATAAATGAAAAAGAAAATGTACTTAAGTGGCATTAGTCTGAATAAATTGGACTTAACGGAGATATCGAACATCGAGTAGGACAAAAAAGAGAAAAATTGGAGTTTGAAGTAATAGCAGATTAGGATTTGTAACTGACTTTCAATACAATTAAGCAGAATCAATTAATTAAATCTTATGATATGCAGCTGATTACTTTCTATTTAAAATGAATTTTGAACTTTTTAACGTTTCCTTGATCAAAGCCTCTTCGTAGTTTTTTTAAATTTCAAAAAATTTCCTGGCGGAATTTTATTTTTAAAAAAAAATTAGGGGCCTTCACTATAAAAAATTTAAAAATTGTGGCAATAATATAATTTTCGCTATATTATAATGTAGCAAGGATAATATATTATGGATATTTAGAGAAAAATTATATGATTAGATATACTTCACTGTCATGTATAATATATATACAACCACACTATTGTTATCCATATTTTCAAAATATTACCTACTTTACCACAAATTAAGAGTTTTTCTAATCATATATTGAGAAAAATACACTTATATACATGTATTTGTTATCATGTACACATAAATAGGAAGAGAGGTGAGCGAAATTCGTAAGCGAATCACACTATATATATATATATATAATATAGACTTATATTGTGTATAAAATTATGTGCGCATATATATATATATATATATATATATAGACATATTGTGTATAAAATTATGTGCACATAAAATATATACTATAGTGTATGAAAATTATATTTACAATGTATCTTCTGTTTTCAAGTATATTCCTAATGTATCATTAGTGTATCTCAAATGTTTTAATTTTATGTATTTTAAGCGTATACAATGTTCTACATTAATGTATAACAAGTATTTAATTTATACTACTTACGAAGACGGAATAAGCACACACCTCTCCAACAACATGTGTATTTTCCTAAAAATACATTTTATCTGTCAACGCATGCAAAAAGTATTTCGAACATTTCAGCATTCACATGTTAATCTTTCTACCAACCTCTTTCAAGTATAACACCGTCAAACACCTTTCATTTTTATACTTTGTTTTCTCCTCCTCCTCCTATGTAGAGGAGTTTATCAATTTGTTACTCACAGAATAAGGGGTGTCAAACGGACAGTTGAGTTGAAATTGGAGACATTAAAATGGGTTGGAATACAAATTGAATTGGGTCCTGACGTGCACGAGTTTATCGTAGGCTCAAATGAATTGGGCTCCAATGAGCTTTAAAATGGGTTGGGTCTTGACTTGTTCAGTTTGACTCACTTAATCTCAATAATTTACTTTTAAGAAAAAATTACTTATATACACATTATTAGTAGATGATGTTTACATTCCGGTGAATTGTGATGGATAATTTCATTGGATATTGGTTGTTGTTGTTTTGAAAAAGAGACTAATACGTATTTACGATTCAACATCTGGATCAAGGAGAAAAATTTATTCTAGTGACATTAAAAAATTATCTAATGTTGCCTACTTACCTCCAGAACAATGGATTTTTTTTAATCAGTCGGAGCGAGCTAACTGTTTATCTCTTGATACTTATAAGGACAAGGAATTGAAAGTTTATTGAATCCAAACCACCCTTTTCTTGTTGAACATGCACAAGACACTATTCATCAATGAAGCGACACACTGTAAATTTTATAAAATTTTATTTTGAAGTATATTTTAAATTCTTTTTTGATGTATTTTCTGCATTTGTAGGGATTGTAGATTATTTGTGCCCACGTTTTTTGAATTTCTTAGCAGAAAAATTCAATCCAATTTTATGCTTTCTTGACTTGATTATCTCTACTCAAGATATGAAACTTTGTTATGAAAATATGGCAGTCAAAAGGCCGCAGAAGGGTATATTAGTGAATATGACGATCCATCAAACCTAGGCGTCATTTCACACCACCAAATCATGATGTGTTAGTTAATCTAGAATAGTTTACGTGTATTGATGGATAGACAGTGTTTTTTAGTTAAGACTATTTTAATGTACATTAACTTAAGTGTTGGAGTGTTTCTCTAAAAACTTATTTTGTCTGACTTTAATGTCATATATTTTGTTCCTTAATCTTAGAATATATATTTGTCTTCATTTACAAATTTCATAATTAAATAAATGTTATGAAATTAAATGTACATGATATATTAGTTAATGCACGTGATACATTCGCATATATGTTACCCAACAATTTGTTTATAATTATAAGTGCATAACAAAATTTATCTAACAAAAGTAATATCGATATAAAACTGTTTTTCAACACAAATTCAATAGTTGTGCTAAAAATAGTTGTTTAATGTATGTATCAAATAAATTATCACACATGATACTTAATATACATTGCATGATACATGATATATAGTCATTGTAAATGATACAATAACCTTAACAAATGTTATCAAATTAAATGCACATGATACATTACCATATACGTTACCCAACAATTTATTTATAATTATAAGTGCATAACATATTTTATTAAACAAAAGTAATATTGATATATAAGTATTTTTTAACACAAGTCATAACAATATATTTATAATTATAAGTGCAATTTAAAATTTATTTAACACAATCATAACCAATTTTTTTTTAACACCAATACTAATTAATAGCAAATGTAAACAATACTTAAAATGATAAATTTTTACGTGAAAAATTATTCAACAAAAATATTAATGTTTTAAAAAATTACGATTATCTCATTTTTGTTTTGGGAAGAAAGTACAGTTCTTCTGTTGTGTCCTTCTTGTCCATAAGAATTTATGTTCGTAATAATCTTTTCATCTACATTCTTTTTTCTTCTTTTTCTTGGTCGTCCAGATAATCGTCTACTACCACATCCCAGGAGCTGGCTAATCTTCCTTATCTGGCATTGGTACAATTGTAATTTCATAAGTTTTTGCTAATGCATCAGGATTGTAGTAATCAGAGCAATATGGATGCAAATCTTTGACATTCTTTTCTTTTAAAATAGTGATTGCATGTGCACAAGGTATCTCATCTAGTTGAAATCTTCCACAACAACATACTTTTTGCTCAAGACAAACAATGTATTTTCCTTCCAACTTCATAAATCGAGAAAATAAATTCAGATGATGGAAAAACCTGCGTACATTAAAAAATTAAAATATACAATTATTTCATAAAAATCATGTTCAAACTGCAGAATGAATCAATGATTTAGTTACATATAATAAAAAAATAATATATCATGATACATACCTCCATCTTTTGAACTTTTAGACACGTTTATAATCACTACCTCCTCAAATCGTTACCGCTATATTTGAACTTTTAGACACGTTTATAATCAATACCTCATCAAATCTTCTCCCTGAAGTATCCCTTGTATGAGAGACTATTTCTTTGTTTTTGCAATGCAAGAACCAAAAAGAATTCTAAATGTATCACAATATTTTGTAATGTATCAGCTTTATGATTACTGTTGCAGCATCAGTATATTAAAGTATCACTTAATGTATCAATAAATACTCTATATACCAAAAATGATGTTCAACATCTACAAAAATCTTGATCACATACTTTTTAATTCATAATGTATTAGACATTCAAACAAAAAAATTGTATCACCATTTAAAGATCTAAAAATTTCAAACACTCAAACCTTTATTTATCAGATCTAACTTTGCAATTGAAGTTGTTCTTTAT